AGCAACCTTATTTTATACGCTTAAAAAAAAGTATCTCTCAATCCAAGTCTTGCGATGTGTATCCAGGAGCAGGTGAGGAATTTTGAATGCTTATATTTAAATTCATATTTCCCTTTTGTTTTTCAACTTTTTGTGTGAACTGGGGATAAGTTCAACCCATAAAGCACTACTGCAGTAATTATAAGCATCCACTTTTAAAGGAGCATTTCAATGTGTCATTCAAATTTGTTTGTTTTAAACGTGTCCTCTTTTTTCGGTTAGTGAAGTTGCTTGTGCATGGACAAATAATGACTGCATCTTTCCACAGTGGACTACATACCCTCTCCTTCTGCCTTTCTAGGAAATTTCCATTTCTGTTTAATGCGCAGGTGCTATAAAATACAGTAAGAGCTTGTAATTTATACCCTATCACTTAGGCATACACCAAACCACCCAAGCCGACTTTGTGGAGAAATGTTTTTGCTAAAAGTGTAGCCTCTCTGTGGAAATCTTGAGCTGAGGTACTTCTGATTTCTCGGAAATGTTCATGTGTTGTAATAAAATAGTGTTCATGAAGACCTGCCAGTTTACACGTAGCACACAGTAAGAGACACACATGTACACTTTTGAAACATCTGCTGACTGTCACCTCATGGAGTGATAGTGCAGAGATGTTTGAGTGATTGGTACTCATCCCCTTTGAAGGTATCCAAAAGATTGGATAAAGTTACAGATTGAAAACTTCCTTGTTTGAAGGCTTTACATCAAGGCCTGACTGCCGCCCCCTGCCATTTTTTTCCAAACGGCTATATCCATAAAGATCCTTTCAAGTGCCATATGGTTTGGTTTTGACATGCTAGGCTGTACAGAGAGCTAAGATATATGTTGAGTGTTTACACTTGATTGGTATTACATGCAGTTTCAGAAATGCGGTTCTAGCATGTTGTCTCCCCGATGCCAACCTCCTGAATTTTCGATCTGTTGCACTGCAGGAACAAAAATACTCAAGGGGCCAATTTATCACTTTTGGACTACATCGGGTGTTTTGGAGTTTTTTTTACGGTTAGCAGATGAATCATTCCTCTTCTATTGATATGTCTTAAATATGAAGGGAGTGTCAGTATTTGCCATGTTTCTGGGAAAGCATTGATGGACATTCGGTGTAGGGCTCTACTCTTAAAGGTTGCTTCGGGTCGGGTAGATGTGCGCTACAACACTGCTGCGCACTTGCCACAGCTGGAGGGGTCGGGGGTCACTTGCTCTGCTATCAAAATGGCAGTGATTTATTGGCCATTTAAGTTTAATGACTAAATTCATCTGCTTTGTGTCCTGTCCAAGAATCTGTCAGTTCCTCGGATATTCTGATTAGCTCAGACGAGGTTTCTCATTGTGGAATACTCTGGAATACTCCTACAACTGAACCATGGGACTCAGAACTGCTCTAACTTTAAGCCACTTAAAGCAAGATCAGCATTTGAAACAGTAATTATCAAATACAAATGGTTGTTATGAACAAACATATCTATGTATGTCCATGTTCCAAGTTTAATACTCACCATAGTGAATCAGGGTAAGACAAAAACACATTTTGGAAGGATTGATGGTGTATTGACTTAAACATTTTTGTTAATTTTGAACATAAAAAAGTTACATAGTGCACCTTTTATTGTTGAACGTACAAATAATCCAAATATGACCTATTCAAGTTGCCACTTGCAAGGTTAGTGACTAATCCCACTGGGTAAGGACTTCTAAAAAATTAGGTTAATATGCCACCTTCAGGGATGATGCAACCACATAATCAGGTTTCACGATGAACTTTTCACGATGATTTTATTTAGGAATATTCTGGGTTAAGTAAAAGTTAAGCTTTGTCAAGCCATATACCACAGAAACTAATTTCAACTAGTCCCTTGGTGCTTTGACCGTTATGTATTTACAAGGACTGTCTATGGTGCAAGCATACAACTGATGCTCTCAATAGAGCTTGTATTAAACGTGGAACATTTTGGAAAACGTTTTAATAATTTGATTAGTTTCAGAGTAAACCCTTGATGGCTGTGGAATATTTTAACAGATATGGAAGAAATTTCCCCCAATTCTTTTTCTGGATATTTGAGATGTGCTTTTACTGGAACACCAGTTCTTGCATTTAGGGTTGAGTCTAATCTGGACCTGGCCACGAGCCATTTCATTCCCCTCTGACACCGACCTGTGTGAGTGTGTGTGTGTGTGGAAGGGAGTGGTATGCAAGACTCGCCCCATACCTGAGTGAGTGATAGTGAAGTGTAATGGATTCTCTTTGTGAAGCACAGATCAAGAGCTGCTAGCTGAACACTAGACAGAACTATGAATGAACCGATGAAATCGAGTGTTAAATGCCACTCAAGAGAGAAATTGATTTTAAACAAATGCAAACTTCATGAAAATCAAACAATACACCTTTTCCAATACACATTTCCCTTTTTTTTTGACTGCCTGTGTATGGAATGAATGGGGGAAATGTTGATGAAAATGTTGGTGGTCAGTCACTGTTGAAAGTACAGTCGTTTTTGATGACTTCCCCTCTGTGGGTCTGTGTTTGGGCACTGAATCTTTCTGGATGAGTAGGAGTGTGAACTTCATTAGTTTTGTCCTTTCTTTGTTTCTGCTGAGTTTGCATTGTTTCTAAAAGGTGGCAGTGGAGCTCATATCTGTCTTGTTATTTTTCAATTAAAATCTGACGTGCGAACTACACTAACAAAAAAAAAAAACAAATGTCGCTTTTCAGCACCTCCTACGTCAGCTTCTCTTTTTTAACTCGTTCTGTCCTGCTCTCTTCTGTCTTTTTTGTCTTATTTGAGTGTATCCACTTACTTCTTTCTCTGAGACTTCCTCCCACTCTTTCACCTTGCACTCAAGGTTTCCACTCAGACTAAACAGCTCTTACTGAGGTGTGTGTCCGTCTGAGTTTGTGACTTTCTGCAGTTGCTGAGACATGCTATTTGGTGAAGGATTTCTGTATGGCCAAGATATGCAATCAGGCTGTATCTAATGTACAGTATATTAAGACGCATTTGAACGTAATCTTAGTAATCTTACTCCAAGTGGCTTTCAATGCATGTTCAGGAACATGGGAGTGAAGTCCGGTGTTGCCAGATCTGGGGAGAAAACCAAGCAACCTAGTCTGACAATAACTTCTGTAATATTGCCTCACAAAAATAAGTCTACATCAGGGACCCTGTTAGTGTTAGAACTGTTAGTGGTTTCTGTTGATGTGGATGCTATGGATCAATGGGAATTGATTGATGTCGTTGATCTGATTTATTTTAGTATAAATTTACAAACAATCAGAAATGCTGGAAGTAAGCTCACACATTGAAACGCATGAACGCCCATATATTGATAAGCCCAAAAATTACTTTGAGTGGACATGGCAACACGGGGAAGCCCCTTACCCGTGCAATACGTGTAATGACAGGCAGATGGCGCCAATGCAACTCACAGTAAACCAAATGAGTCAAGAACTTCAAATTGTTGCTAAATAGAAGTTTTTGTTTTATTAAAAATTATTCTTAAAAGCAGAGATTGAGATTCTTTTAGTCTCATGAACCGAGTGTCTAGTCTAAGAGGATTTTATGTATTGGGATGAAAGAAGGGATCCTATTTGAAAGAAAATGCACATGAAAATCTATCTAGACAATTGCCTACGTGTGAAATTGTCACAGGAGGAAAACCCTTTTCTACAAAAAGACCACTTAATGTCCACTTAATGTAGCCTAATGGAAAAATAGGTGTGTGAAATTGTTTATGGAAGCCGAAGAAGGGATGTCTTGTAAATTCGAGCGGGTCTCGCGCGCTGGCCGGACTGACCGCACATGTCCAGCGTGCGCTTGAAGCGAGTCCGTGCTTCATACGCGCTGGCGCGCGCGCACACCAGTACGTGGTGATGGACACACACACTTACACATGTGATCACGCCCTCATTACCTAGCACTCTTTCCGTTTTCCAAGCAACCTTGCATATGACCGAGAAGCCCAAAAGGGCGTCATCGCTCCCGTCATGTGATGCTGATGATATTCAAACTGGGATTACGCACACATAATGTAGACCGCTATGCCTCTGCACGTACGACCTATCATTACGCAGCGGATATTAGGGTACTTATTGATATATATAGCCTATAATACATTTTCAAAATGTTGAAATGTAATAAAGGAATAAATCAAGCCCTACTATTTGCCATATTTCATGCTGTTATTAAATAAAATGGGGGGACATCAAGGCTACTGAAATCCTTTTTTTCACTGATTGTTATATTATTGTTATAACTAGTGTAATGTGTATAATGAAATTGTAATAAAAAGGCAACATAATATATACTGTGTGTGTGTATATATATATATATATATATATATTAATTATTCATTGGTGGTCTCTGACTTTTGGATCAAACAGTAACGCATACAAATAGCAAATAAGGAATATGTCCAGTCATCCTTTATAAAAGTAAGCACTGTAGGGTGATCATAAATAGGTTTATTTTACTATAATGTGGGCTCACTATGGTCCCGCTTTTTATACAGCTACATAGAAAATAAATAAACGTAAAACGTTTGAATGTTATATTTTTAAGGCTAATTAAATCCTTTTTAAACAATTTAAAGTATTTAATTAGAACATACCCTGAACTACGACTTACTGCGACTATGGACAAAGCTTATTATTCAGAAATAGCCTATATTTGACCGATGAAAGACGCAATTGACCAATCGAAATCAATGATTTCAGAGAGCAACTTGCAATAAGAGGGATGACTCTTTGCTCATTTGATTAAACAGTATCCGTAATAACATAATTGATACCAGGCCAGCACTCTGTAATTAGAGAGTGAGATCTCTCGTTTAACAGAAGCTATAGCAGTTATCAATAAGCCCACATCTGCGCATTGAACTTAACTGAGACACTGACACCACTATAGCCACGCCCATCCCAGTGACTCGTCCAATGGCGTGAGTTTCAATCTCACTGCGGTGCAAGAACAGACGACAGCTGAAGCTGTTCGTTAAAACCGGGGAACGGCGGCGTCCGTGATCATTCATAACGGCAAGGGGGAGAACTTGAGAATCAAGCTGACAAATCAAACAGGAAGCGGAATTAAAGCAGGGTTCATTCGTAGGGACTAGAAGTGCGCTTGGATATAGCATTCTCTCTTCGGCTTCTTTGTGTCCTCACTGGTATCACTGTATGGGCAATACTGAAAGTTTTATCAGCGAGTGAGTTTCTTATCCATTCTGCGTCCCTTTCCCAATGAACCCAACGCACTTGGAGACGGGCGGCAGGCTAAGCATGGGATTACTTTTGTGATGTGGATTGTAATAGCCTTGGAAGAAAAAATTGATCTACTTCTCAACAATGTGAGAGGACCTGCGTCCTGGATTCTCATATTTCTGGATATTCTGAAAATAATCGGCAACAGCTGAGAGACGTTATAACATATTTTCCGTGGGTCTCACGCTCTCTCAGGTGTCTGCATGCGTGTTGTGAGACCAACATGGGATTGTTGTTGCCCCTCTAGATCGGACCCCGTGTGAAGAAGAAGCCTTTACTCATGTCTAACTTGCTTTCTGAGACCTTTACCAATGCGTTTGCTAAAGTCCGCCTATCATCGGATAGGGTTTTAAAAAGAGTTATTCGCCTTATAAATTCAATCATGAACTTTGCCGTTGGCGTGCTCCAGTTATTTATTGTGACGCTTCTGTATTTTTCAGCTGTCAAGGTAAGTTTTATATCCCTTTGCATACATTTAGAGTAAGACGGTTGAATTTGAAATAGTGTTATATCGAATGTAATGTCTGCGCCAATATTGGACGTCCTTGTGTTTCCCCTTGCGAGGTCATTGACCATGTTTTGCCAAGCTCTTCAAAATTACGCGAACAAGCCAATCTGATCATCCCACATTGAGCCATTTAACACTGTAGACAAGTTACAACCGGGGAAAGACGGATATATACGCAACCCAAGTTCATTCAACTGTTTGGAAGTTTGTTGTCGATTTTGGTCAAGGCCCTACCATAACCACCTTAGTGATATTATTACGCTTTAAAGGCGCAGCTACAGTATACAGTTCACCGCGCACCAACATATCCGGCCTCAGGAGACCACAATATGAAAGAGATATAAATCATTAGGTGTGATTTCAGCTTATTCAAAACTTTTTATATTCAAGGGCATGGATGAATACAAATAAACCTGCCAATCAGTTTGACAATCTGATGAAGTTTGTGCTTCTATCAATGGCATCATCTGAATCTCAGCCATTAAATCACAAGCTATGCTAAACCCATATCAAACCCCCCAAAAAGTTCAGCTGGTCTGTTAAAGTGAGTAAAAGGCTCAGCTGGAATGGGGGGAAAGCTTCATTGATAAGTGCACGTGCCTCCATGGAGCTTCTGCAAAATCTGAAGTGTGAGATCTGACATGTTCACAAGTCCCTAATGCAGAGTTCAAGGCCAGTTTTGATTTGATACTAGACTCGTGACAAAAGACTATCAAGGCCAAGTTTAAGTCAAGTCTCAGATCGTTCAAGGCCAAGTCTTAAGTCCCTTTTTAATACAGTTTTCTGTATACTACAGGTTAATACTATACATGTTGATATGTGCACTTGAGGAAAATAATCATTGAGAATCATTCTTTGTGATGGGCAACAATTATTATTATGATTATTAACTTTGAAAATGAAATAAGGTAATTTGTTGCATCATCCTAAAACTTGAGTAATGATGATGTGGTGAATAACTAGTCAAACCTGTTTGGACTCTTGATTATTGAACATATTTGTGAACAAATATGTATAACTGAATGCAGTCTTTAAAAATGAATTTCTTTCAAAAAGTTGTTGTTGTTTTGTTTTTTACTACAGAGTGCCTACATACCCAGGGAGGGAGGCAAAAGCACATATGACGGTGAGTTTCTGCTTGAACTCAATGGTGTCATCCAGAAACTGGACACATACAACGCCCTCTGGTGGATGGGTTAAGAGGGCAATGCTGTGCCTTCAATCACACTGTAACACACTGTAAAGCTTAAGATAAATTGTTGTATTTATTAGAAGCTCACGATCCAGTCTGGTTTGTATTACATCTTAACATACAAAATCTCAGAGGGATAATTTGGATCACGCATTGCCGAACTGCTCATTGCTCAATCTGTTAAGCCTAGAGAACAAGACTACACATTATTAAATTACAATACATTTGTGCTTTAATTCTTCATGTAAAAAAGAGACTCAAAAAGCTGTGCATATACACACAGGCTACTTTGGGGTCTACTTTTTAAGTAGGCCGAGTGCAACACAAGGAATGTACATGATTTAAATGGACACCCCTGTCAGTCACAAATTCCTAGAAGGGCTCCCTGATTTCCAAACTGCGTTGGCCATGAAAAAATTGTGCAACTCTTGGCCAAAAAGATCCTACGTTTTTGGGACACAAAACAAACAAACAAGTAATTGATTTTCCTCTTTTTTTCTCTAACTTGCAGTGGTGCCATTCATGGAGGTGTATAACAAGTCACTTTGTCGTCCTCGGGAGGTGCTGGTGGAAATTCAACAGGAATACCCCGATGACATAGAGCATATCTTTATACCGTCCTGTGTGGTTCTCACCCGCTGTGCTGGGTGCTGCAATGATGAGATGATGGAATGCGCCCCCACCGTCACATACAACATTACCTTGGAGGTCAGAGACCCCTAACTTCCAGACTGTTGCTCTCTTTTTCTCTCTATATTCTCCCACTATCTGTCTGAATCTTGTTAAGTCTACTTTTTGGAAACCCTACACTCTTCTACTTTGTCTCCCACATCCAAACCCTTTATCTCTCTGTTTTTGGCCAAGCTAACAGGGTTTTTTTCTGAATGAGAGTAGCCAATTTTTAGGTAGTGTTGAATGTAGTGTTTACTTAAAGGGATAGTTCACCCAGAAATGAAAATTGTCATAATTTACTCACCATTTATGAGTTTCTTTTCTTATGTTTAACACAAAAGAAGATATTTTAAAGAATCTTGGTAAGGACATACTTGCTTCTCAATGAAGTCAGGAAGTCAATAGCTACCGTCAACTGTATTTTTACCAACATTCTTTAAAACATCTTCTTTTGATATGATATCAAAACGGTCATTTTTTAGCAAACTGTCCCTTTAACAATAACACTGCCTTATATGTCTAAGATGTGGTGTTTTAATGTTTGTCATTGTTTTTTTTTTTCCCGTAGATTAAAAGATTGAAACCACTCCGTCATCAAGGTGACTTTTTCATGAGTTTTTCAGAACACAGTGAATGCCAGTGCCGGTAAGAATCCTCATTTCTACACTCATACATACCTATAGCTACCTAAATGGGGATAAATGATTTCTTACCCATGAAAGAAAACCTTTTCCATTTAAAAAAAAAAAGTTTACTTTTGAAGACTTTACTACAAGAAAGCTTGTCCCTAGAGGATAAGCTTTTGAGGACACTTCTTAATGCCATCCATTATCTGCTCTATAATTGTATTTAATATAACTGAGGGGTGTTAGTGGATGTTTGTCTGTTGTTTTGTGCTCACAACAAACACTTAGGTAATGTCTCCCTATTTTTGTTTTTTCAGGCTGAAAAAAGATCTTCCAGAGAAAAGAGAAAAGTGAGTGACATTGTTCTTGTGTGTGTGTGTGTTTGTATGTGCGTGTGTGTGCTTTTGCTCTTGCATTATTTTGTCATTTTCCCCTCCATCATTCTTGCATTCATTCTTGTTTCCTAATCTCTCTGGCTTTATCTCAATCACTCTTATCGCTCCACCTAGGTGTATTCCTTCTTGTTTTCCTTTTCTCCCTGATCCTTTCATCTAAGCTTGTTGCTTTTCATGTTACATAAAGCCATAAAATCTGATCGTGAGAGAACAGTGGAACTCTTTACAGGTGATTTAGATCTTGAAAATCGTTAGTTGCATCATTGTCGAACTGAAGCTAAACTAAAACTAGGACTGGGTGATTTAATGTATGCCTGATATCTGCTGGCAATATTGTAAATATCTCATGACAATCAGTTGTGATCACCTCTGATTCAACAATTTGTTCATCACTCAAAAGTAATATTGTGAAAGAAAAAAAAAATACTAAGCTCTAGGCCTAGCACGAGACCAGAACTACTGCTTTTGTTTATCAGATGAACTGAGAAACTCTCTAACCCTTACTCCATTATCTGATCTCACTTCCTTTTTGATGCCTTCATGTCGTTGCACGTTGCTCTCTCAAGTGTAAATTCAGCCCCTCAGGTGTGTGAAGAGCTGCTTGAAAAGGTGTGTGAGTCTCGCCCTCTAGTTCAATGCCCTCGCCCTACATTCATCTCAGCGTCGGCTAAGCTCTGCTTTACGATTTGAGGTTCATTGAGGTAACGGAGAGATTTGTCATCTCTGAAGTGTCTTTAAGTCCGGCGATAAGATAATGTTTTCAGGGTTTGTTTATGAGCCCGTTTCCATTCCTCAGAGATACTGCAGCGGTCAGTCAACCCCCTTGCCTTATGCCTCCCTCTCACCAGAGAATGTGGGCCGAAGTGTTTGAAAAGTTTACTGAAGTTGAGGGTGTTGATCTTGTGGCTGATGTGTTATGGGTCAGAGGTTATCTCTAGGGGTTTAAAAAGTTGAAATGCTTTCTGGTTCTGGTAAACAAGTGGCCCTTTGACACAGTGGCTGTTCTACGACAGCACCATGTCCACAGACACTGATGACAGTGATTGAATTTGATCTATGAAAAGAATGAATGTAATCGTAGAGAATAACCAGCCTGATTTGTCAAATTCAACTTCATAGTCTCGACGTTCTCGTTTGTAAGAGATGAAATGATTGATTAAATTAAACGTTTTCACATTGTTTTAGTGAATATTGCATATGTCGGCATTGAAAAACCCATGTGATCAACCAGTAATGCAAATAACCTTAGAGATCGCAGCACATCGGTTTGTACTCTGATTGCGAGATAGGGGAAAGTTCACATTCTTGCTGCCTGACGTGTCTGACGTGATATGCCAGGATTCTGAACGGTAAATGTAAGTGTATGTTGCTAATGCTGAGTGTTGATTTGCTGATTGATCACTCACTAATATAAGAGAGTTCAATCTCACCAGTAGACTTTTTGAATCAGCGTGTCTGTGTTTTGCACTAGCTAGGAATCCTGCTAACATTAGTGATGCTTTTGAAGATTTAATGCCTTGTTTATTTATTGAAAGTGCTTCGTGAGAGAGATTCTGAAATATTGGCGAATTTTCCCAGAGCCTGGCTGGCTCTTTTTATTTCAAATTCATGTCTAACGCCCCTGGAGTTTGCTGTCGTGTCGGGCACCAATACCAGAATAAGAAGAGAAAGATGTGTTTTAGTGGGACATGTTTACTGAGGTTTCCATCTGGATCATTTTAGCACTACGTTCATTGCAATCTGACTGTGTGGATGATTCTTTTGCAACAACTCCGATTCAGTTTTTGTTTTTCGATGTTGTTCTTTGTTTGTCATGTTCCCTTTTCCAGAAAACCCCGGAAGGGCAAAGGCCAAAAGCGAAAGAGAAAGAAAAACCGTGAAAAAAAGCGGGATTTGTACGTCACCTCTGCGTTCGCCTCCTCTCACCTGCACCTGAGTGTGGCAATCTTGGTCGTCAAATTAATTTGGGAGGAGGTTTTAGTCCTCCTTTAATCACTGTATTTCTGTCGGACGGTGTTAATTGCCATTAATCCATCAACTCCTCTGCCACTTAATTAAAACTGACCACGCCACAAAACCACATGCTCGATCTCTGCTCTCACAGAGCTTGCCTTACTAATGCAGAAGCACATGCTAAAACCATTACCATAAACAACGTGTGGCCAAATTGGATTTGTTTTTGCGAAAGGTACAAACAAGTAGAGTGCAATGCAAGAGTGACTGTCAACTTTTAGAGTCAGAAATGTTTTCCCATTCAGTCTCCTTAGGCATCTTTGTTAAAGCGTTCTAAGCCTTTAACCAAACCATTCAACTCCAAGATGAATCATAGGAATACAACCTTTGATTTGAACAAAGCAAGTATTTGGAAAGAAGTAGTCTCTTATTAGAGAGTGTATTATTCATTCCATGCGGCGTTGTGAATGATGTAATCCAAACAAGAGCCACAATACACTAACAAATCTGACAAGTCATTAATTGTAGGAATAAACCAAAATGTATACAGACGATACAATTTGACATGCAAAGAAATTACATATATTGGTTGTGGGTATGGAAAATCCTTGGATTTCGTCATTAGCAGTGCTTTATGGGAATGGACAGGCAGTGGCCTCAGATTTGTTCTCATTTCCAAGGTTGGTTCTCACGTTCTCTTATTGGAGGACCTTGCTTAATGATTGTGAGTAGTGCAGCACATTTCATGGTAAATCAGAAATGAAAAATTGCAAAAGCACCATCGCTTAACTTCCTCTGAGCTCAGGGTAGGTCTGTCTGTTTTTCAATGGGGGAATGAATGGGATTTCTATCTCTGGAGCCGCACCGTTGCGCTCTATAGTTTGTGCCGCAGGACTTAATAAATAAATGAAGCTCTATGATTGGAGGAGGCGAGCAGTGGTGAGGTAGCCGACATAAAAACTCACCTGACCCACTCAGCATGGCTTTCTGTTGATGGTACTAATTTGTTTTCACAATATTTCTGTTGAAATCACTACCTTGTTTGTGCCGCTTCCTGTTTTTGGAATGTGAATTATTGTTCTCACATTTTTTTATTGTATTATGACCATCCTCCTCACATTGTTCTGTCCTCTCTGACATATGAGAAGGATTGTGTGAGATGTTTTTTTTTTTAATTCATTGCATTGCTGTGAGTTTTGTTTTGTCATGCTGCGTGAGCTCTGCCGCACAGCATTACGAAAGTCAAACAGCCTGTTTACTTTGGTGCTTCTCCCAGTAATTGGAAAGTGAAATGTATTTCAAAGAAATGCGTACATGAGGACAATCTGCTCCTGTGAGACTGATGCTTTTGAGGTCAGTATTTTGCTGAGGGTTTGGGTTTTCATATAAAAATAAATAAATAAATAAATAAATTAGATTTAAGGCCTGTCGAGACAAAGATCATGAAAGTATGTTTTTGTTTGCACCACAACTATTCACAATGAATTTATAACATTCTCTGAGAAGATTTGGTTTTCAAGTTTGGATGTAAAGTCTTATTGTGACTTAAAGGAGTAGTTCACTTAAAAAAACTTTTACTGATGATTTACTCACCCCCATGTCATCCAAGATGCTCACGTCTTTCTTTCTTCAGTCGAAAAGAAATTCAGGTTTTTGATGAAAACATTCCAGGATTTTCACCATATAATGGACTTCAATGGGAACCAAACGGTTCAAGGTTTCAGTGCAGCTTCAAAGGGCTTTAAACGACACCAGGCGATGAATAAGGGCCTTATCTGGGACTCTTCGAGTCATGACTCGAAAAAAAGATTTGTTCATTTTGATGAGCGAGTTTGAACAGGAGAGTCACGAACGCACATCACAGAACAGAGCAAGACGAGCATTTGAGCTTATAAAACTTAAACTTTTTTATTTCTTTTTTTAAATGACCGATCGTTTCGCTAGATAAGAGCGAATTTATTTCTTAATTTATTTTTGACTGAAGAAAGAAAGACATGGACATCTTGGAAGACATGGGGGTGAGTAAATTTTCAGCAAAAGTTTTTTTAAAAGTGAACTACTCCTTTAATACTAAGAATGATGTGGTGCTCATGTAGGTATAAATCTGACATTTCCCTAACACAGACCTTTTTCACACAATATTCCAGTACTTTTTTCCTGTCAAGAAAGTGGCCAAAGCACATAAATTGGTAAACTATAAGTCTTGTGCATGTTTTTCATGCCAATCGTTCTTTGAGTAAATAGGCCTTTACACTGTTGTGATTTTAAAGTGAGGTCAGGGTTAAATGTAGAATTCAGAATGTGGTTTTGATAAGCCTGTCCTCAGAGCAATATTGGCTTCAAACAAGGTCAGCTGGCACAAATGCGTGTGAATCTTAGAGTCCATCATTTCGTACTGTACTGATGATCCAACACTACAAGAAGCAATAAACTGAAACACTGGATTCGTATGCACTGTTCTCTCTCTGCCTTTTATTCCAGTATGCTTTTCTAAAATGGAAAGTTTGTGGTTGTTTTTATTGTTTTCTTGCATTAACTGAGCTTGCAGGTGCATGGCCACATCCTGCCTATAACTTTTTACACTCTCCAAACCCCCTCGGACCCTCAGAAGGTGTGAAACCGTGGTACCAGACCAGGGTGGCTCATAAAGTGTACTGCTTGACTCACCGAATGTCTTTGTGTGTATGTTTGGGTGAAAGTGTTTATTAATGGCCTTTACTATGTGTCAGCAGTAATCTCCCCCAATCCTTCTCCTCTTCTCGTTCTCTCACTCTTCAGTAGTCAGTGTGAGCCTTGCTGTTCTACATGCTCTGAAAGGAGAAGAAGGTTGTTTGTTCAAGACCCCGAGACGTGTCAGTGCTCCTGTAAACACTCTGAAGCCGACTGCAGGTCTAGACAACTAGAACTCAACGAAAGGACCTGCAGGTGTGTTTGTAAATCTACATTTTTCTTGTTTATCTACACATGTTAGTGCAAGACTGGCCTTCCTGTTTTTGTATTGTCATGTAAATCCCTTGACAAAAGTTGTGCTGTTCAGAGGTTGATCTTTTATTTAAAGCAACAATGTCATCACTTACTCATCGTCACATTGTTTCAAACCCTATGCTCCCTTAAAAGTGTCTGTTGCTGCTTCTTTAAATACAAGCTTTGTCTCAGATCTTTCTCCTAAACAACTGAAAGATATGTTGATGTATTAAAAGGTCTGGTAAACGTTGCATCTTAGTAAATCAGTGTACAGTTTGAGACATTGATGCACCTCTTCTGAAAATGAAGGAGACATATGTCAGAAGGAGCCTTTGTTTGGCAGGAACCTTGAGCAAAGGTTTAATCTTCTTCCTATCTATGATAAAGCAATTGAGATGTTATAGAAATTTCACTTGTGAATTTTCTACTTACTTTCCCAGATGTGACAAACCACGGAGGTGAACCGAACAGATTTCAGAATGGACTCTGACATGAAGGAATATTTCACCAATAATTCACAGCACTTTGAACTTTCAGCTTGAACTTTGGTCTCATTTTTCCATCACGGAGAATGAAGTGGGGGGTAAATAGTCAATGAAATGCTCTGTCTGTATATTTTCATGATTTTCACGTGTGTATTAAGCGAACCGAGAGACTGAAAGCACAGGATTTGATTTGCTGCTAAAGGGTCTAAAAGACCTACGTAAACGTTTCTGATCTTGGCTGGCATGCGTAAAGTCGTACTCGGAAGTCGTACTCAACGAAACGCATCACTGGATTGGGGTCTGCTGTGCATTTTTTTATGTGAATCTAAATGTAAACGAGCGCAAACAAAACATTTGGAGGACTGCAAAAGTGTGTCGGCGTCCATTACACGCTGTGGAATCATTCCTCCCAGTACGTGAACACTGAACACACTGAGTGTGTTTTTAGAGATGGACAAATGACTGGAGTTTTGGTGGTAGACCGAACTGATTCTGTCGGTGGAATGTCACACAGTGATGCCATGGAAACCTGCTGGGCGCTGTGGTAAATGTTTGCACCAGAGCTCAAGAGGATTTTGGTCATATTCACTCCTTAAAGGGATATTCATTTTTTGACATGTTTGGAAACCACTTTGAAAAGGGATAGTTCACCCAAAAATGAAAATTCTGTCATTCATTTCTCACCCTAATGTCGTTCCAAACGAGTAAGACTATCATTCATCTTCAGAAAACACAAATTAAGACGCTTCAAAAAGTTCATAAAGAGATTGTAAAAACGAATCCATATGAATCGAGTGGTTTAGTTCAAATTACCCAAAGTGCTTTATTTGATATTTAAATGTTCACATTTAAATATTGCGGAGGGACAGAAAGCTCTCAGATTTCATCAAAAAGATCTTCATTTGTGTTCCGAAAATGTCCAAAAGTCATGAACGACATGAGGGCGAATAAATGATGACAAAATTAAATATTTTGGGTGAACTATAGCTTTAAGATGACAATTCTGTGCTAGGTTTTTTTGTTGTCGTTCAGCTAGTTCTTAACTTTTAGTCCAAATCTATTCCCCCGAAAAAATTCAGTAATTTATGATTATTATTATTTTTTTGTTTTTGTTTTAGAATATTTTCAGTATTCTATCTCTTTGTATTTAATTTGACCTATTTATGTGCAGTGTTATGTTAAAATGGATCTTTTTTTTGTCTGCAAAGCTCCATGGCTGTCTGGAGAAAAAAAAGCTTTTCATCCTGTTTTATTTTCCATAGATGAACAGAGAAACATTCCTATAACTGATCAGTGAGTCATGTTGCCAACTGCCTTGACTTTGCCGCCTTACTGCAGATGTGTGTGTGTGTGTGTGTGCCGTGATCTCTAACAAACTGTGTATATGTGATTTTGTGTGTATACGAGGCTGGTGTTTGTGTGCGTGTATGTGAGTACGTTTTGGCGAAACAGTCTTGAAGAAACCGTCTTGATGTCATACGTATTGAATAACAATATAGCAGCCAAATGTAAATATAGGCCAAACTCATGTCACCTTTTACTTCTACTATAATAAGATCTAACAAGCTGAAACGGTTTACTCAAATGTGGTCTGGTTTGATTTGAGTTTTACAGTTTAAACATTATTTATTTACTCTATGTAAATATGTTGGATATTAACATCTTTTTGTGTCTGTGTAATGTAGTACAGCATATTTATTTTCAAATTATATTGCCCTTTTTCTATAAAATTGTGTTTGAAAACTTTCACAGTTTTGATGCGTCTGTACTGTGCGATAACGTGAAAACACCCCAAGATCATAATCTTGATTCTTTTATGAGTCCAGAAGCATCATTGCCATTCAGGAGCATGTATGATGTTAATTATTTTTGTAGACCAATCGCCTTCTGCAAATAATTTTGTCTCGATTGTATCCATACACACTGTACCGTATTGCATTGGCCACATCCCATGTTGGGTTTAACGTCAGGAAACTTTTCAATGAATCACTGCAGGTCAAGCGTCATGCCAAAATTATATTCATGTACTCATTTACATGTAATTTTTACTACACTTCACTCCATCTTGGCACTAGATGTTGCTTGCATTCCTGGAATAATTACTAAATTTCATGAAACATGTTTTAAAAAATTTTTTTAACAACTTTATGCACTTAAAAAAAATGCATTGAAATGCATATCAGTGTTAGGCCTTAAAACAATGCTTGATTTTTCTATTAGTTGTTTTAGAAGTTGCCTAAAGTTGCATCGCTCACAGATTACCTTTCAAAGCGATATTTTTATCCCGAATGTGTGTGTCCTCCACATGGTAGTTCATCCTCGGAGCACATTACCTAGAAATGTTTTGATCTGTTAAACTATAAAACATACAAATGTTAAACTAGCCATTACCATTCCAGACATTTCCCATATGTCTCGCTAAACCTGAGCCCACTGGTCCATGTGATCATCAGAAAGGCAGGCATCAGTAGATCAGTGTTAATGAGGCTTAGGTTTAAGAGCAGGTTGTGGAACTTTGTGTGTTTGTTTTGAAACAGCTGATTTTAGCCTGAGCGGCGCTCCACTAACACTAGATTAGCCAATATGTTTGACATAATATGAGCACGTGAAGCACTTAAGAGCAGCCGATTAACACTACCTATGAAATATAAGATAATCCTCATGCCACTCTCCCCCCACCTGCACAGGCCCCTCAGCTGCTTAAATACCCCAAGAATGTTGTAAGTGACTTAATCTGTGATTAGAGGAATTTTGGGTTGGCAGGTTCTCGTCTCCGGTGCAAATCATCATAGTGTTGGATCTGCCGGTGAACTTTACCCCATCAGTTTAACTTCGAGTTAAATGGCATGAACTGGAAGGTTGTAGGTTTAAATCCCAGATATTTCATGAATTTCTGCCAATCAGGAAATGGCCATGTTTCCTTCACTTGTAACTGATATAATTGACTGGATACTTCACTTAGTGCCACTGTTTGAAATATTTATAGGGCTGTCAAACGATTAATCGCGATTAATCGCATTCAAAATAAAAGTTTGTGTTTACATAATATTTGTTGGTGCACTGTGTTTAATTATTTTGTATATATATAAATACACGCATGCTTGATTATATTTAAGAAATATTTTCATGTATTTACTGTATGTAGATTTATATATAATTTTATATATAGATATAAATATTTTATATATAAATAATATTTTTGTCCTAAATATACACGCATATGTATTTATATATATATAAAGTGTATAAAATAATTATACACCGTGCACCCACATATATTATGTAAACACAAACTTTTATTTTGGATGCGAGTAATCATTTGACAGCCCAAAATATTTAACTTAACTCTAAATGAATTTAATATTAAACCCCTTTTTTTATTTAGCCAATTTGCATGTCCTTGTACATTACTAACTGTTATTTTTTTCAGAATTTTTTCTGAAGGTTTTTTCTGTATCAGATTCCACCTAAATCTTGCCTTTAATTGAAATTAAAATCATGTATTGTCTATTTCTGGCAATGTGCAACATTTGTATTTCCCCTCAATATCCATTAAGCCTTATGTAGTGAAATTTCACCCTTTTTAATTTTTTCACGCAGTGTGTCCGTATTTAAAGGGGTAATTCCCCCAAAATGTTTAAATTCTGTATAATTTACTCACTCTCAAGTTGTTCCAAACCTGTATGAATTTCTTTCTTCTGCTGAACACAAAAGAAGATATTTTGATGAATGTCAGTAACCAAACAGTTGAAGGTCCCTATTGATTTCCATAGTATCCATTTACTATAGCTAAATTTGTTGTGCTCTTTCATATGCAGTGCTTCCATTACTAATCCGCTATCAATTCAAATTAAATGAACTCTAAAACTGTGACAGGGTTGAAATCATTTTGTTAGTTACTTTGCAAGGCTGTAACCACCTATTTTGCATAACCAAATCTGCACAATGCACAAATGCATCTATTAGGCTCTGTATCCTGAGAATGAGCTTAGATGTGGGATCAGATCCATTGGGACATATAGATCACAGTGCTGAGTCTTGAGTTCTTGATTTTATTGTTTATCAAGCGGTCATAAATTAGTGCCATGTGTAATTGTCATGTTGCTGAAAATAAACTGGAATTTACCCTCATTTCCAACAGTGTGGCGTGACCAAGGTCTGCGTCTTTGCAGTCCACACCCTGCTGTCTGTAGAGACGTGCACTCTGTCAGGAACATGCAATTGTCCAATGGCATCATTACTCATCTGTCCACGTCTCACACCTGTGTGTGAGAGCATCAGATTAGGTGCGTGCTCACCTACACATACTCCATTTGCATGTACAACCACCATTTAGTCATCAGTCTTATACAACACAGCAATATTTAACATTTTGTTGGCATCACTTAGGGTATGGAAATATCTTGGGAATGAATAAACAACCCATTTGAAATTTCCTTGCCAATCTTTTTTTTTTTAAGCGTTGTGGTTTGTATAAAAGCGGACTATGCTTTAGTCAAATGCACGTGTTACGGATTGTTCTCAGACAGAATGCATCTGATTCACTTAAGTTTGCTTGGAGATTATATAAAGTTTGTAAAGTGATGACATTTTGAATTTGACGAAACTCGGATATTTCAAATGTGATGATAGCATTACATTCTAAAATCAAATTCTGTGTAATTATGAGTTTGTATTCACTGTCGTAGAAGAAAGTAATGGATTATTCGGCAGTCTGAGTCAAAAGAGCTCACCCCCATGTCTTTGGTTCAGAGATATGGCCAGTTCAATTTATCATATGGTTGTTAGGGTAGTCTAAATGGTTGCTAGGGTGTGTTTTTCCCGCATAAACCTCGCTGTGGTCATGACAGTCAATGCGAGTTTTCTGTTGGTTGTGCACGGAAATAAAAATATAACAATACAAAAACATTCCGATGCGTGATGCATTACATTTCCGTTTCCTGTGTAAATATGCTTATGCCACATTAAAAAGCTCTTTTGTCTGGGGGATAAACCATGGCAAAAAAAGATCAATACTTTCATCATTGAATCATACAATGTACAAAGAATGAGTCACTAAGGCTTTTCACTGTGCTTTACACTGGGTTTTAATGTTTCAATTGGTTTCAATGTTTTCACTGCACTTTACACTGGGGTTTAATGTCTTTCAAACCTGGATTTCAAAATCAGGTTAATCCAAGGGTTGGTCCTCCGACCTCCCAATTTTGTTTAAGAAGATAATTATTATGCATTTAGCTGATGTCAGACGGGGAGTATTGGTCAAATGTGATCAAATGTCTGTGAAATTACTCCAGTGTGGATCTGATCATCTCTATGTGTGTCAGTTAGCGTTAAGTGTGTTGTCCAAGTCATGCTTATTTTCCCTCTGAACTTCCCTCTCCTTCCCCGTCTTTCTTACACCAAAGATAAACGTAGTTTTTCTTGGATCACACAATTTTGGAAAAGTATAAACAACCATTGCACTCTCAATCAAAGTCCGCAAGACTAAACACACAGTCATCCACACACACACAAAGACAAATTCTCTCATTTGCATTGAAATAAACACTCTGGAATTCTCTTGCATCCCTCTATACTTGTTGAATCTGTGATTTTTGACTTTAAACAATGCAAATGCGAGTCTTTAATGGGAATCCTGTGGGCTTTTTACTTGAAATTGTAAACTCGGTGTCATAAAGCCCTGGGTTATTTTAGAGTGTGTTCACACTTGGCATGTTTGATTCGATTAGAATGAACCCTGGTGCGAATGCTCTGAAGCGCATTTATCCCACCACACAGCGTTGTTTTAGATGTTTGGTAATTTGTGAATATTATCAAAATATATGTAATAAAAGCAGACCAATCAGTTTGTGAACATATCCCTATGTCTTTAGGTTTGGTATCTTTTGGTGCAGTGTAAAAATGCCAATGTGAACGCTTTGGTCTGAACCAAGCAACCAAACTATAAGTGTGAACACACTCTTATATTCCACACTTTGATACTTTTACTTTGGGTTTGTTTATCCTCCTGATCATTCAGGTTTCCAGATTTCACACTCTACGTGTGTAACCCTGGGTTAAACATCTAATTTGCATATTTATAAGGTTAATTTAAAAATTTTAAGAAGTGGTCCACCCGCTGTGGTTGGCTCTCAATCTTCTCAGATACAAAAAAGTATTTTTTTTATCACTCTGGTAACCCAAATTAAACGAAGTGTGTGAAAGTCTTTGTAAGTGTGAATGAATATTTAATGACATCACTGAGACTGATTACTAGTGGTTGTTTGTTGCTAAAAAAATAACTGCATCTCTGCTAAAATGTTTCTCTGGGTTAAAAGATATTAAGTGCGTTGTGAGAAGCCTGCTTAACTCATTGTGAGTTTGAACTATTTGGCTACGATATTACTTGAGAAAATAAGAAATGAGTTTGCTGGTCACGTCCCTATTTTATTAAAAACCTCACTCTCTCCTGAAAGTCTCATAAGCCTTTTTAGCTTCACATGTTTTTGGATCTGTTTTAGGAATTAGTTTTTTTTGTGTGTGTGTGTGTATTTGATTGACAGTTGGTAATATTGTGTGTGTGTTCTGACAGGAGTCTTTAGCACAGGCTTTTGTCTGTCATATCGTCTCTATTTCTTCTCGAGTGTGTGATGGAGTGTTAGCGAGTGATTAGTCTGTAGTGTTGCTAAGAGACCAGTTTAAAGCATTCCACACATTTTCCAATTATTCCTTCATTCCAGGCTGTTAAAATCATTGACATGTGATTAGTGTCTCTTCTGAGGGTTGAGCTGATCCCAGTGTTTGGGTGTTCCCACATTAAAAATGACGGAAAGCGTTTTAATAGGAAGCGGTTTTTTGTATGTTGTGGTTTTCATATACATGCTTTTATTAATTTCAATGAAGTATCTATTTATTGGTTGTTATAAAATTCATATTTAATACATTAGGGTAGCACTTCATTTTGATTGCCCATATGGTCCAGACATTCCATTAACTTTAGCAACTTCTAACTAACTAGGCCTACTATTTTTGACTAAAGATGTCATCTAGCCGTCATTAGAGTATTAGTTGACTGTTGCTTAATATCTGTTAACACTTTATTCTGATGCTCGCCAACAGATATCCCTCTAAATAAGTAACGTTGCAGTTTCTACATACATGTCAATTGACTAACTCTAACAGTCTACTATAGTCTGCTTATACTCTAATGAGAGTTAGTTGCAAAATTACTTATAATTAGTAGAATGTCAAAAGTGGACCATTAAAATAAAGTGTAACCAAACTAATTTTTATTTTTACATCTGGGAGAATGTAACTTCACATGTCCACATTGAAAGAAATATAATTGAAATTGACCATTTTAACTCTTTATCATTCACATTACTGTAATGCATCCAGATTTTGATAATTATTTTTGTTAATTATTCTAACAAATAGTATATAATAACATCATCCTGTCTAGACAGAGTGATTTAGAAAACAAATTAAAGTACAACCCTTTTTTGTGGTAATAATGTACATATTAAATATGTCATTGTATTTGCATTACAATAATGAGAATTGGGGGTATTCAACTGTAATGGAAAATGTTTAAAAAAAAACATAATGCTCCTAAACTTAGTTTCAAAGTACATTTATGCACCCAGGACATAGTTTTGTTTTCCTCATGAATCCTTTAGTTATTCGTGTATTGCTTATATTTTATTATTAACATAGAATTACACAATTACACATTAATTACATATTAATTACACAAGCTCCGAAGTGGCCTAATTTAGATTTGTATGGTGTTTTCCATGAAATAATCGGAGCTTATCTGAGGTGAGAGTGGCTTCCCACTCAACACTGATAGTATACTTTCATTTGCAGAGGGAAACACATTATCTTGTGCAGCAAGGAATCTAGGCTTGGGTGGTCAATGAGATGCAGTGAATCATTTTTCAGAGACCATCTGCAATGCATTTTTGTGTTATATATATGAAATGTGTTTAGCTGAAATAAAGTGTGTCGAATGTTAATGTATACTCACTGTGGTATACTCATATACAGGGCTGTACGAATGTTTACAGCATGCCATATTCAGTGTGCTGCTTCCTCACACAAAGGAACTGTATAGTGTGTGTGTGTTCCTACTTAAGCATAATATACTTTACTACACTCCTAATGTACTTTGCTTCATTTTTTTCATGAATAAATGAGTTTATTGATTATTGACAGGGAGTGAGAAGTTCAGGAATATCTTAAAGGGATAGTTTATCCCAAAATGAACTTTTTGTCAAGTACTTGAATTTGCATCAGGTTTGAACATGTTGATTTGCTGGGCGGAAGGTGAGTTGTTCAGCGAATCATGTTTTATGTGATTTCAGAAAACGTGACTTCACTTTTATGATGCTTTTTTTTTTTTGTCTTACAAGTCTATTTACTGCATCTTAGAAGGTCACTGCAACAACACACAGGTGTATGAGAACATGATGACTGAGTTTTAATTATGAGATTTGGTCAGTTATGCTAGTTAAACCATAGAAAGCCCAACTTGAAATATCAAATGGCTCAAGTGAACTGTGGGATAGAGACTGCGAGAAAGAACGGTCAGTCAGACGCATTGTCTGCATGTCTCTGGAGTCATACCGCAACTACAAGCATTTGTGTCCCTGTGACTCGAGGTCTGAGTGACAGGCCTTAATCTGCATCTGTGTGTGTTTATAAAGGTTATAAAGCGTTTTTGGTGGACGTCCAGGGTTCAGGTTATCTGTACGCTTCGAAACGGAGTGGTATGCGATCAGCTGCAGCGAGAGTTCACAGTATCTGATTTCTTCCAAGTGGAGAGACTAAACCAGAAAGGCTAAACGCATACAGATCTCCATCTCATTAGCCTTTGCTTTGTTGCTGTAATCATGTAGCACATTAAAAATAGATCAAAACAGATGGATGCACTTTAAAAAAATGTGACTTCACGGGACAGTTTGTCCTTAAACTATGTGTGTAAACGCACAAACTAGAAAGAGTATGTGGCCGCTATACAGATGTTTGCCTCACCTTTGCATGAGCAGAATCAAAGCGGAACTGCAACAGTGTAATAAATCAGCTCAAAGTATGTGACCCATATACTGACCTGACCTCAACACTTCACTGGCACTCTTTTACTGGCTGTTTCTGACTCTTTCCTTATCACACACTTCCCAGCACGCACAATTATGCTTTAAATGTTGTGACAAAGTGCAACATTTTTACCATAAAATGTTTTTTTTTGTTTTTTTGTATGTATGAAATTAAAACGTTTGGTGATCCAAAAAATATCTCTTAATTGCTTTCATTTTCTGTCTTAACACAACTAAAAAAAATTGTCTTTATCAAAATTTACACAACACCAACTCTTATTAGCCTAAGCATTTTGACCGTTCATTTACACAACTGTGTTTTGGAGGCCTGAAAGCGCAAAGTTTTGCATACGGGTTTCAAAGTGAACGTTTTTGAAAACGATACCCTTAGCATCTCCATCTAAACGACAAAATCATGAATTTGTGAAAACAGTGACGTCATGTGCATGCATATTACAGTGCGTAGTGTTTCTTTGCAAAGTGACATCGCCAACTACAGGTCTGGCATGCATGCAGCATTTTAAGTCGTTTCCGCGGATCTGTGCGAACGGGAGATCATTTTGATGAAGTTGTTTATCCTTAAACCATGTTTAGTATAATTTTGGTCTTGTTTTCTTTAACCATGTGTAGTTTTGTTAATGGTTTTCTAGGATAATGGCATGTCATGCATGTTGGCATCTGGCTAATTTGACTAGCTTCTTACAGTATGTGTGCCCAAAAAGGATTTTCTCCTCTGTTTCAAAAGCTGATAAGCCTGTTTATTTTGCTATCATAATTACACATCATTGTATGGTTATGTTGCTATGTATTATTATTACACAAGTATAAGTTTGTATGATTAGACACATTTTATTTGTATTTCTTAATTTAAATTTGAACTTAGGTGTATGTAATTTGTTCCTTTATTTTTATTATTATTGCATTTGAATTTTTGCATCCAGAGCAAAATGTAGTCGGCCCTACTTAAGGATCATTTATGTAATGTGGTGTGAAGTATCTCACCTCTAAAAAGCTGTCTAGATATGCTAACAAGATAATATAAAGGATTTTTAAAGCATAAATAAATCCCTAGTATCAATTTGCTCTGATTTTATAATAAAATCTGTCGAGATGATGTTTTAAGTGAGTATTTTCACATTTTAATGTTGTATTTTTGGTTTTTAAGATTTATTTCCCCTTAAAATGATAACTTTTCACCGTTTGATCTTTGGTAATTTAAATATTTAAACTGCTCATTGTCTTTTGCTTCAGTTTCTACTTTTAAAACAACCTAACTGCAATCAAAATGTAACAGTGTCAAAATGTTTTGTATGTACACCACAGCAGCAACACAACTGCATTGTTTGCAATGTGTGTGTGTGTGTGTGTTACTTGCACCTGCTGTCGCTCTGACACACGGAGGAACTTGTGAATAACTTTCCCTTTTATTGCCATATCCTTTTGTTAGCATCCTCTCACCTCACCTTACTGACCTGTGACCCTTTTGTGTGCTGTGCTTAGGGACGCTGTCATCACCGTGGGCCTTAGAGATGGAAAAATGACAGAGCTATGCAGGGGGCCGAGAGTTTCTGGCTGTAACGTGACCCTGCAGATGCTTCAGTCATGCCTGCTATTAGAGGCCTTCGCATGGGCCTCAACCCCCTCCTCCAGGGTCTGGATGGCCTGACCACCACTGCTGGGGGTTTGGCCGGGAAGACGTGGGATGATCAAACAACACTGAGGTGAGTTATAACCTCTGGCAGACCATCACAGTGACTTGTGTGTATGTGTGTGTATATGTTGGGTAAAAGTGGCCTGATCTCATGTGTCATAGAAAAGGCTCAGAGAGAGAAGAGGGTGAGAGAGTAACAGAGAGGGACAGAAATAGGGGGATGGAGAGAGAGGGAATGTGTATAGATGTCACTGATGTTACCCTCACACAGCAGCAGAAGACAATTAAAACAAACTATAAATGAACGTACAGGAGTCACAGCACAGTTTTAAGAGTCGGTATCAGCTTTATGAACGGAACCGTAGTCAATAACTAAAGCCGTCTGTTGCATCAACTGTAGCTCAAGGCGCACTCATCCTAATGTAAAAGCTTCTTCTTTACATTAGACATATCTAAACGTTCTTAAATGAGATACATTTACTTAGGAAGCAAAATTAGTTAACGTATTAAGTCTTATCTTCCAATGTCTTGTTAATGTTTCTGATTAAAGTTGAGTTATACTGTCAGTGTGCCAAAAATATATGCCATCTAGAGTTTCATAACAGACATTTGTAAATCTGCCAATGGGGTATAAAACAAAAGTAAAACTTGTTTTCCCCTTGAATTAAGTTTATTTTTCCTACCCCCATTGGTAGATCTACAAAGTTCTGTCATGAAACTCGGTCCTTAACTCAATCTGCTTGCAACCACATCGTTCTCTTTAGGGCACAGCTGATTGGTTCCTGCTGTATCATAAGCCAATGAGCTTTCAGCTCAACCTTCAAATATTCAAATATTTTCTGTAGCAGTTCCAGCTACACCTGTATAGATCTCCTACAGGGTTAATTGATGTACTCTATACTCTATATACAGCAGCATTTCTTACTTGCTCACAGCAGCATGTTGTGTGTGTATTGGCAGTAGCAAGTCCTCTACTTGTTTTTTACTCCATTTTTCTGTAGTGTATCCTCTCTCAGGTTCAGCAAATTGGCAAAAAATGTCTGAGAAGATGAAACTAGAACTATAGTTCTGAATAAAAATGTAAAATAATAACCATTATCATTATCTGTCACTGTGTAACTTTTATGCAGAGCTGCAACATCTGTCCCTGATAGAATTTGACACATGCACATGCCTTAATGTGTGCATTTACTGTTAGATTGTGCTTAATTTTATTATGCATGTACATTTTTACCACTATTCAGTTTTCCCCCATTGATCAGTCCGCAGACTTCATCTGCTGCTTCTGTGGAAGGATTGCCTCTCTTGCTCTCTCATGGTTTCTCTCCCTCACAAATCTGATTTTCTATTTATATCCACGGCATCTCCACGTAGTGCCGGAACAGTGTGAGCCTTCCACTCATGCTCTGATATATTTTTCCCAAACGTAGGCCAACATTCACTTACAGCATTAAACACACACACTCCTTTCTCTCATATTCGTATTTTTAAAATCTTGATTTTCTAGACTATTTATTTAATTCTACTTTAACACTCTAAAAAAAGCTGGTGTAGAATTTACTTAAACTTTTTACTTAGAAATTGCTAGGGAATTTTACAATTAATTACAAAGACACAAGTATCTTATGAACTTGAAGAAAGACTGAAAAATCACACTTTGATCATTTTTTTTTTATTTACAACATTTTTTATAGTGTTGTAACTTTTTGTATTACTTTTGCTCATATATATAGAGCTAGTGATTTAAACAAAAAGTATGAAGTACTTTTCTTCGTATTAAAATTTTATGCAATGTATATGAATTGAAGGCGATCCAAGCCCTACAGACTAGAATATAAAACACCCTACTGACTAACTGACAAATTCTAACCATTCAGAAAACCCTGAATTGTGGTGGCGAGTTGCATCATGCAGCCCATCCAGATTTAATCATTTTTTCAGTTAATGATTTGCAAAATAATTTAAACTGTGAACTTTCCTTTCAAAAATGTTTCTGAGTGGTATTACACAATCTTTGGCATTTGCTACCATGATATAATAGTGTGTGTGTGTGTGTGGACATCACTTTGCCCACTGACAGAGGAAAAAAAAGGCAAATGAAAAAAAGAGTTCTTGAAAGACTTTGAGTCAGTGTGGTTTCCCTGGTTGGTTTATAGAAGTATATCTTAGTCTTCCTGTGGAAAAACCTATGCATACAAATGTCTTTTGCTGCCCTAAATAGAAATTTATGTAATTGTAGCTGTCACAGAGATGAAATATTTCCCATAGTTTCAAAGAGATCTAGAGAATCTGTCAACTTTTGAGCAAAGAGTCTGTCTACTTTTTCCTGCAGGATAGATCGAATAATACTACAATGCTTTGGCTTTTACATTGTAGAGGTTTGTAAAATGTTTTAGTTGGATGGGGTGCATTAAAAAAGCCCAAATAACTCAACGACCCTCCATAAATCTTTGGTGTGGTCATCCCATTTAATTTATTAGAGATGTCATGGGATTTAGATGAACACAATCCGCTTACGTTTATTACTGTATTGACTATTAACTAATTGCACAAATGGCCCAAATTACCCCATTTTTGATAGTTTTGATGGATGAGAGCAAATGCAAGGATTGACGCCAACTGAGCCATTTAGTTTGAAAAAGAAGCCAACTTAAATCTTAATGTTGGACGTTTTTGGATACTTAAAGGTGTTTTGAATGATCAATTTTGTTTTTCTTGGTATCCAAATCAAGTCTATGGCAAAGAATCTTGTGAGATGAACGATTACGCCTCCCTTAAAACATCACTTCCAGAAAGCCTTTGGTCAAACGTCAATAGAAGAATAATGAGTTGGTTTTGTGCACCAAATATTAATTAAACGGAATCAGTGATGATCATTTGCTGAAGCCCAGAAAGCTATAGCTATAACAAAATCTGGACTATTTTAGACCATTCCCCACCTTTCAGTTGCAACACAATGACATTTTAGGAGGGGAAATTGTACATTTACCAGGATGTCCCTGGTCACCGCAAGGTTTCCGCATGATGGAGATGCTATATTATTAACTGTCAACAAAACTTGCCCTATTATTTAAAATGAAACTTAGCACAAATTACATTACAAAATTTGTCTGCCTCATCCATCCCAGCATTCTCTGTATGCCTCTATTGAACAATACCAAAGGTGTCAGACACGCTAACACCTGAGAATAGAGACCGATCAGAAGTGATCTCATTAGACTCGTGCAAGCCGGGCTTGTGTGTTCAGTATAATGGCAGTAATGGATTTCAAACACGCCGCATTGCCCACGTTTGTTAGAAAAACACTGAGCCATTAAGGCCAGAGGGCCTGGCACAGCAAATATTTGGCCACGGATGAAGGTAAGGGTCATGTGATTGGTTTTATGGCACTCAGATTTTCCACATGTAACAATTACTTCAGAGCAGCATGTCACGTGGACCTGTAATTACTCCAAATTAAATGCTCTGCAAAGGCCAAACACTGGCCTGCGAAATCTTAAAGTCTCATCGAAACCTATTATAATTGAGCACATTATCTTACATGAGCGTGTTTCCCATCTGTTTGTGCAGTGATATTTGATAATGGAACCGAGTTTACTGTAAATAGTCATCATTGCTGAATTGAGAAAACATTGCATAACCTAAAAGTTAACTCTTTTTTTAAATTTTTATTCAAGTGTAGCTATGCCTAATAAAAATCACTGTAATTATAGGCTTCTATGTGAACATATTGACATCAAAGCTGTTGCATGAAACTAAAATGAGAAAATAAAAGTTGACTAGTGCACTTGCTCAGACATGTTTCTCATTGGCACTTAATGGCATCACATATCAAATCGAGCCTGACTCTTATCATTTCCTTGAAAACAGGAAAATAAACTTAGGAAACGTCTTTAGTTTAGATAAAAAATCAAAACAAGTTGATTATCAATTTTATATGTGGCTGCTTTCTAGTCCAAGTTATATTCTGGTCTAGTCTATGGGATTTTTAGAGTACATTTACAAGAAAAGACATGTCACTTTTTTCTAATTTCATGTTTAATTTAGCGGTACTTTGTAATTATTTGTGAAATTAACAAGCAAATTCCATTTTTTTATGTAGCATGGCTGTCCTCAATGAGCCACAAGATTTGAGGCATCATTTATTTCCATAACTTAACGTGTGGGAGTTTGAGAAATATAGTAATAGTGACGTTTGCCTTCGCAAACACTACTAAATGTTATGCCACAGATGCACTAGCAATGATAGGACAGCGTGGCATTCAACTACCAATTGGTTGGGAATGGATGTTTGGTAAGTCACGAATAGCCCACTAATGTCCCATTTTAACAAACCCTCCCCTGGTTGTTGACCGGTAGCCTAAACATAGCAAGGACGACGGACAGAAGCGCCCCTGAAGTTTCTAGGAAACGTGTGTTACTATCTTAAAATCAATACAGTAATGTGATAACACACCACTGGGTGGAAATCCTGCTTCAATATCACCACAACTTAAGTTGGCATTTTGAGTTTAATGCTAACGGCCAGTTCAACCGTGCTGATAAGACATGGCCAGATGCAGTTGAACAGTGGAAGTGACTGTGGCTTATCCTGTTCTGTTCAAATCTGTTAAGCTGACTCATGCGGTTGTACTCAGTTGATCTCATGCCAATGCTCTGGCACAAAGACTAGGAAATGTTCATCAGGGCTTCAAGAAGGCAACCTCCTGCTGTCTCTGTGGGTCTCAGATAAAGTAACATCGCCCTCCTGTGGCAAGATGCCAAAAGATCCATAAAACACAAACTTTGCACTTTTTTCTTTGTGGTTGGGTACGGTCGCAAGCTGCAGATCAGAAAAGTTAGCTTTGACCTGTCCCCGAGTTTGTAAAAACAACAAAAATATGTTTACAGTAATGCACTTATAATGCAAGTCTTGTGGGAAAGGCATTCAGGAGGCATTAACAGCAGAAAAGTTGTCGTATTTTTGTTAACAATATATTAACTCTTACATACAAACGTGTTATTTCAACTGTAAAATGTTTAATTCATCCTTTTTTGGGGGCTACTATTCTAGGATTTTTGTTGTTGTAGTGGAAAGAAGTCTCTTATGCTCATCATTTGATTAAAAATACAGTAAAAATAGTTATATTTTGAAATATTATTTTATTTAAAATGCAATTTCTTCCTGTGATGTCAGCTGGATTTGCTCCAGCCTTCAGTGTCACATGATCTTTCAGAAAATATTCTAATATGCAGATTTGGTTCTCAAAAAATTCTTATTATCAGTTGAAAACAGCTGTGCTGCTTAGTATTTTTGTGTAAACCATAATCTTTAAAAAAAAAAAAAACTGGGTGTTTTGAACGTTCAGAGAACATTCAGAAATAATAATGGGTACTTAAAACGTTCATAACTTAAAGGGAACGTTAGCAAACCATTCTAAAAACAAGTTTTTTTATCAGCTGAAGAGCTTGTGTTGAACCTCAAACGTTCCACAAAATGCAACAACTTCAACTAAGTTTTTTTTTGTTGTAACATTTCAAGTTCAAAAGTGCTTTTTGCACTGCTATTCTTGAGTCCATGTGGTCCCAGGTGCACTAGCCGGGCCAGTCAGCCAAACTGTCCCCTGTGCAGATGTCCCCCATAAAGCAGGAAGGATGCTGGAACACATTCACGGGACACGCGCCGTCAGCAGAATTATAGACTGCACACTTACACTAAACTCCACCTGGAAGTTATTAAACATTCCAAAAATATATTAGCTGTTAAATCCGACTTTGTCACACTAACTCTCGAGACATATTCATGTGGAATGAGATGGCAAACCGCCTCGCTCTCCCACTCAAACCAGATGGACAGTCTGGATGCTCGATGTGAAGCGATATAGGTAATACATTAACCTCTGACGAGCTCAGTGACATACACACTCTTATGTAACAACTCTTTTTCTCTCTCTCGCTGGTTAATATTTAGTGTGTTGTCCCTCAGAGGCTTAAGACGTAAAGGCTTCATCTCCTGTGATTCTGGACCTCCACCAGTCTATCTAAACACCACTCGTGTTTGGCTCAAAGTCACCTTGCTTACCCAAGCAGGGCTGTAAAAATAGGTCAGTGAAAAGTGCATAAAAAGCGCATAATTCACTATCAACATTTATTGCAGCCTTAACATAAAGACAAGTGAGCAAGTGTAGAGAATTTTAAACAAGACACCATGTTGCTTAAAGACGTCTCTCTCTCTCTTCCTCTCAATGTACACATTCACTCTTAGAATTATGCACATAATACATTTGAGTATGTATGTAAGAAACAGTACGTGTTTGTTTACTCGCCTAACCAGAAGCTCTCTGGAGCAAAAGCCACAACAGTGATAAAATCAAGATAGCAGAGACATTTCACTCAAAAATAATCATGACAAATGTCATTGTTTTCTCACCCTATGTCATTCAAAGCGTGTGTGGAGAATATACGTATATATATATATATATATATATATATATATATATATATATATATATAGATAGATATAGATAGATAGATAGATAGATAGATAGATAGATAGATAGATAGATAGATAGATAGATAGATAGATAGATAGATAGATAGATAGATAGATAGATAGATAGATAGATAGATAGATAGATAGATTTCAATCATTAATCAATGATCCTGATTGAGGTCTTTACCTCAAGAATAGCTTAAAATATAACATAAAGGGCTTGAAATATACCATAGAACTCATCTGGAATAGTTTATATGATATGGTACTAAATATGGTGTTTTTATAGTGGTTTTTTGGAGCTCAACAGCACTTATTTCTCTTTCATATATGGAAAAGAGAAGCGTGACTATTTCTCCTTTTATGATACTTTTTATTGGGGCTTTTTTGTCATTTGGGAGTTTGACCGCTCATCATTCACTTTCATTGTACTTTTATTACAGGAAGCTGTAACTAGAAGCTCCTAAACTAGAGAGCGCAGCGCTAGCAACGCTAACATCAGGTTTAATTCCCAGGGAAACATATGACGTGCAGCTTGAACATCTGCCAAATACGTATTTAATGTAAATATGAACAATATGCCCAGGATATTCTTCAGAAATGTGCCTTTTGAAAACTTTTTACGCATTTTGGCCGTTCATTTACACAACAATGGCATTTTGGCAGCTTGGAAATGCAAACCTTTGAAAACGTGTTTCATAGTGCAAGCTTTGGAAAACAATACAGTTATCACTTTTAATTTTTGTTTCCAATAAGTCATTTTAGTGCTTCAGCTTCGGTTGGTTGCCAAGTCAGCATTTCAAAAGTTTTTTTTTCATCTAATGTTTATATTTTCTTTTATTTCAGCTTCATTTCAGTTGAGAAAAAGTTATTTTTTTTCCAGTTTTAGTCAATGATGATAACCCTGGTGGGCTAGACTAGACATGATATAAAAATCTCTTTCAGAACTTGACGGGTTTACGAGTCCAGAAACGGACATGAAGTTGCCTTCAAGAATTTCACCTTTCCTACAACCTTGACCTACATGTCCTTTACTGACTAGAGAGCAGAATATCTCTGATGTAGATCATGTGTTCCTCGACTTGAGTTTGACAGGTGTGTGTCATCTGGTGAGGTCACAGGGACAGTGAAAGTGTTGTGTCAAGGTTTTAAAAACACATAATTGTGCACATGGTGAGTAGGGCATAGTGGGCTATTTAAAGCGCGACCAGGCCAGTCAGCAGATACTGGCCTTTATAGAACATCCTTTCACCTTTACCGTTCACATAAAGGATAAGAGTGATCACAAGCTGCTTGAGCGGCATTGAAAACTCAAGATTTATAGGAGAAACGCACCCTCACCACCTCCCGGACTATTCTGGCTTAGCGTCAGAAAAGATTTCTCTCCCTCGGTCTCACATGGCATGATAGGCAACAGTAGGCAAATAATTCATATTTACAGTAGGTTTTTGCAAGACAGGACCTGAAAGAGTTGAGTATAAACATTGATACGATTAATGCCTCCAACCACTCCCTTCTCCCGCAGGTTTTCCTGGCACTGGGAGATTCTGAGCAGATTCCCTAATTTTCCAACATAAACATTTATATTAAACACGCAGACAAGCCAAAAGCTGTCATCCCAGCGTGGGTGTTGACATGCGCACATACGCAGAAGACAAAGGAGGTTGTGTTTCTTATTTCTAAAGCTTCTGAAGTCTAAACGAGGAGTGGTGGATACACATTGTTCTCTATAATTAGCCATAATTCAGCACAACTGGGATGACTTACTGTCTAACAGCTGCCATTGATCAAACTTTTGAGTCACACTCACATACATGTACAGAATCACGTGCTGGTATCTGTGTATTTGAGTTACAGATGTGGGTTATCTTGTATCTCTGAGGATTTCTGAAGAATTGGAAGTGAATTCTGGGTGGAACTGGTAGGAGGATCAATCAAGGATTTTTAAACTTTCATTTCACCGCAGCAAATATGAAACATCTTGAAGGGTCTTCATCTTGTTTACAGGAGTGATAGCATGAGCTGTGAGAGTTTTGAGAGAAATAACCGTCATTGTGAAATCATCTGAGGGTACTAAGGCCTGTTCACACCAAGAACGATAATGGTAACTATATTAGCGTCCACAGCGATGCATAATATCGCTCTGGTTATCATAAGCATACACTGCAGTTTATGTTGTATGCCACTTAAAAGCAGGATGGTAATATATGCATATTACATATTTCTGCTAATTAATTACCTTTAGCTAGTAATACTAATATTATCATTTTTGATTAGCTTTTTTGAATCCAGAATTCTACAGATTTTCCATAAAAATCACAGAAATTTGAAAAATATGAAATATTTTATGAAAGAAATCCCACCGGTTGTGCTGAAACTGTAAGGACGTGTGAGGCAGAAAAGCAGCAATCATATAGATACAGAAAAGGGTCGTTGAACTCAAGATTTTAGGTTAAAGTTTATGTGACTTTCTTTTGCTTTTAGCGATAAAACTCCAGTACGTGACATGCTAAACTCTAATAGTCACACTGCACTTCTCAGAAGAATTTCATGTCAACGGGGTCTTATATAATCTATCATCTATATCGCACTGCACATTCAGTTTGGTCACGCTGGATCTGCTAAATGATGGACAAAAATACTGTCATTATGTGCATTGAATGAACTTTGACTTGCTCTTTTTACACACCCTTTCAAAGTCGCCCTCTCAGTTTCTTTCTTTCAATTCAAGTCCGTTTCTGCTTTTTGGCCCCAGACTACGTAACACGTCCTTACAAAGTCTTTCGTTCACTCTCTCTTTCCCAATTGGCCCATTTACAACTCTCTGCCATATCCTTTCAGTCTCTCTCTCTCTCTCTCTCTAGTCAGCTGACTGTCTGGCTCTCTGCCTCAGTGGCTGGCTGAGCTCAGCGCCGTGGTAACGTGCAGCTTGCCATGTCTGCTGTCGCTACGGGAACCAGCTGCAGTGAGAAACACAGCAAAGCTGGGTCAACATAGCCTGCCGCAGATTCATTCAGAAAATCTTCTGCCTGAACCAAATTTAATACTGAAGGTGTGTGAACAGAGTTTCTCACAGTTTCCTCACACAGGTGTTCATTAAATCCTTAAACCAAAGACAAGTTCCCTAATATCAGGTTTATTAACTGAAAGTGGTAAACAGTGGTTAAGAATCCAAGCTGCAACAAAGTACAATACGTGTGCTAATTTGTCAATTTAATAGGTGGTACATTGTGACTTATTTATTTATTTTTTATAAATATACTTGGAACATTACTGGTCAAAATTTTAGAAAAGATGTTTTTTGTTGTTGTTTTTTTTAAGAACACTGTAAAAAAGTATAACCAACAACATATTTTTTACATAGATTTAACTCATCCAAATACATGTTTATGTTATACAAGAATTCAACACATTTTCTGAGTAATTTCAGTTTAATATAATTTTAAGTTGAAATGACTTAAATATCCAAGTTGTACTTACAAATGTACAAATTCATTTACAGTAAAACAGTACAATTGTAAAATATTAGAACCAAAAATAACTCTTTTCAATTTAATATATTTTAAAATGCGTTATACTGGTGTATCATGATTTCCACAAACAGTAAGCAGCAAATATCTGATAATAACAGCATTATCATAGCAGCAAATCAGCCAAATAATTCTAATGAGAAAATCACAGGAATAAATTACATTTTTCAAATTTAACCAAATAGTTATTTTAAATTGTAATAATATTTCAAAATACTGTATTTCTGATCACATGCAGTGTAGGTGAACATAAAAGACTTATTTTAAACACACACACACAAAAAAAATCTAATATATATATATACATGATTCAGTCATTCAATGTCTAGAAGACATGAAGCCTTTTTTTAACGAGTGAAAATAGCGTTGTTGAGAAGATTCGTGAGCACCATGTGCCATCAGATGTATGATGTTACAGGTGTCTGGATGAATCTTCTCTTCTCACACATACTCCTCATCTTTTGTCAGATCAGATGCCCAACTGTTGTAAGAGCCTATCAATGTCAGAATCACCAGTTCCCAGACAGCCAGCTGGCATCCCCGTCTGCCAAGATGATGTTATACGGCTCCTCTTAGGAAACCTTCAAATTATGACCGTCTAAAAATGGGCTTCTCCTTCAGTCAGCTGCTGCCACATTGGCTTTTGTTTAGTCATTAAGCAAACGCTATTACAAACGGGGAATGCTTTAACACTAATGAGTGTTATTGAACTTTCCCAGCTCTTGTATTGCTCTGAAATCATGTCTTGGTAATGTGTCACGTCTCTGTGTAATAAATTTGCTGACAGGTCTGATCACAGAATGTTCTAATGCATCTGCTCAGTATCCAGATGACTTTACCACACTGTTTTTGTTCCAGTTATCACACCCATGCTTGCTTATGTCCGGTACACATTGTACGGTTTTGGGCTATTCTAGACAAAAGTTGGGGGATCGTGGTGATATCTGTGGCTGTGGCTCCTAAACGGTGGTCCTGTGTGTCTTACAGTGAGAGAGATTCAAAGACGGCTGTTGTCACGGTCTTGCGACAAAAGATAGCCTGCAATAATTTTATGACGTGTCAAAAATTTAGCATGATCATTCAGTGTGTTTCCTGCTACAACCTCTACTGAGTCTATGAACTATAGCCAATAAAAATGCAACATGAAATGGCGTATTGATCAACGCGACACAACTAAGTTAGACACAACTAACCAAGTTGGCCTCTTTTCCCTTGCCATGTTCACATTCTCGCTTCCTCTTTAGTGTAAGTGTGCACAAATAATGCTTGGTTTGTTCAGTTAACACAGACGTGTGAGGATATGCCGTGAGCAGAAAAAAACTGATGCTTATATCATTTAAAATACACATTTTTATAAATAGTCAAGTCAAGTCACATTTATACACATAAATACACATCACTCACCCTCATGTCATTCAAACCAGTAAGACTGCAGTTTGTTGTCAAAACACAAAAGAAATATTAAAAACTAAACTAAAAATTAACTCTAATATATGAGTCCCGGTGTTACTTTAGCTGTACAAAAACAGCCCGTTATGGTGGTTGATATTGCAAACTGGTATTTCATATATTATTTTCATTTATTATCATATTCATAAACACACTGGTGCAACTAGTTTTAGCGTTTACTGCACTTTGTTATTCTTATAGTTATTTAGGCCTACCTATTGTGGATAATGAATCAGAAGTCACAAAATGAGGTGGATGACAAGTAATATTTTAAGACGATCAATTCACATGGATTCATTTTACAATGCCTAACACCAATCTTCTAACACCAGGAGGGCCAGAAACGTCTCAGGTTTCATTTTAAATGTTTTAACTTGTGATTCGAAAGATTAACCAAAGTCTTATAAGTTTGGAATGACACAAGGGTGAGAAAATGATGACAATTTTCTTTTTTGGGGGGCCGAACTATCCCTTTAACTCAAATTGGTGGTCTTCAGCTATTTTAGTATAATGAGCGCTAATGATTAAATTTCTTGAATTTAAATCCAATCTAGTTCTTAAATCCAATCTTACATTACACTTTGTAGCTTGCTTCTTTATACCGGTAGTCGATTTTCAGTAACGTCCGTTTTAAAGCTGCAACCAATAAGAGCCAGCCATTCATAAACAAAGCAAAGCAGTGACCAATCAGCATAATCCAGTAATGAAAAGAGCAAAGCAGCAACTAATCAGAATTAGGCATTAATCAAATAAGCAGCTCAGCACAGCTAGAGATAGGCTGACATACAAAGACACTGCTATACATGTATGTGTGTAATAGATGTCTATTCTCAGCTACTGTGTATATACTTTGAGAAGCAGCACTCTCTCTCTCTCTGTCACACACACACACACACACACACACACGCATACATGTTGGTTGCAAAGTTTGTGTGGTGCCTCCCAGACAATCAGGTTATTTAAACAGCTTGACCTACAAATAGAAGGGCGCTCTCTCTCTCTCTCTCTCTCTCACACACACACACACACACACTCGGGGTGAAGGGAGGTACTGGGATCAGAAAGGCTCTGCAGCTGTGGGTCTACGTGAGTCCTGGCAGGGACACACTCTCCCTCCCTCTATCGCTCTCTCCTTCCGCCCGCCCTCATTCCCTCCCTCCCTCCCTGGCATCTATTCCTTTATTCTCCTCTTTATTTTTCTGTCTAACACCTCCCCCTATCCCACATGAGACCTTGACAATGAGAGATGTTTCACTTTTTGCTCGATATCTGAGACGTGTGAAAGACAAGCAGAGGCATGGGAACCCGAATACACACACCAAACAGAAAGAGCAGAATTTCATTTTGCACAAAATGCAGTGATTGAAAGCACTATATTGGCAGAATAATCTCTTTTGGGAGACGTTTGTAATATAGAACAATACAAGAGAATAATCTAATAATGCATGAGAGTTTCTGTCTCTGCGGATGTTCCTTTATATAATGCATCCGGTCACACTGACAAACATTTAGTGTGTGTGACTGTGTGTGGATATCAGCTGTGTTTTTGCCCGATACACAGTGGCCATGAACCAGCCCTCTATTCCACGTTCCACCTGCTAGACATACATCCCCAAGACCATCTGTGGCATTCTGCAACCTGCTTCCTCAACTCCACACAATAACACAGTGGGTTTGTTAGTTTGTTTCCTCGGCTCATGTGACTTTTACAAGCTAAATATTAGATTCCAGCCAAGGTCAGATGAAAAGACTCAATGGAGAGGGAGGAAAAACAGAGAGAATGAGAAAGTAAAGCAAGGAAGAGGGCAAGGAGGGCATGCAGTTTAAAACAATGCAGGTGATAAAATGATTACAGTGGAGAGGAGTGTTTTAGCAGTTAGGTCATCAGTATATGATGTGACACGCTTTGATTCAATGCAAACTTGGTCTGTACTGCCACTTTGTGGTCGTAGGTAGTATAATATCTGATCATTTCTCTGTTTGGAAATTAGTTTTGACGTCACTTTGAAATATTATTTTTTAACCCTCACTTTATTAAAAAAAACATACATTGAGAAATTCTTTGAATTTTCAAAAATGGGGCTGGACTGTTCGCATATTGCCAATTCGCATATTGCCTTGGTAAAAAAATAAAATAAAAAATGTTTTTCACAATAAAACCCAATTCAGTTTTATATGAATGATTAGGCAGGATGTTTTTCAGATCATTTTGAAGAAAAAACTCTAGGCAACAACATTCATTAGTCAAAAGTAATGTGCCCGAATTCATGTATAACGATTAGACACACTCCATGAAAACACTTGTATACTTTTAATCTGCTGTAAAGTTTCATAAATTTCAGATTCTATGGATCCACCGCACATTTATTGAAAATGCTGACTAATATGGTTCTTTGTGACTTATTTAGCTATGTAGTGTTGAAAAAACATGCTTACATTAAATTGTATTTTGTTTAGTTTGTGTGTGTGTGTGTGTGTGTGTGTGTGTGTGTGTGTGTGTGTGTGTGTGTGTGTGTGTGTGTGTGTGTGTGTAAAAACCAACTTATTTCTTATTGAAGCTTTTCTTCAGATCAAAAAATGAATGCTCCTCACAGTGTCTTCTAATGTTCCTCACTAGTCTCCCATCAGTGCTGAATTCTCTGGATCCAGGGGCGAAGCTGTTTCTTCAGGACTGAGCATCACTTATCAGGTAAATTTTGCATTCTTTACTGTGACTCGGTTCTGACTATGCAAGAAAAATGCCCCCCCCCCCCCCCCCATGTCATGTTTTGTACCACTGCATACTACTGTAATCTCAAAGAAAAGTGCACAATCCTATACCATATACCAGCCCATTCATGCTTCAATATTTTACGTTTTAGGCGCCCTTAAGGCGCGATCCTACGGCGCCATCTAACTGACGCTAAAGGAAAGCATCAGTTAGAGGATGCGGTTAGGTTTAGGTCTGGGGTGGGGGTAGGGTACACGCGATCCTAGGGCGTCATTTAACTGACGCTAAAGGGCGCCTAAAGCGTCAGATATTGAAGCATGGTCAAATGCTTGCCAAGGCGTCAGTCAGGTGACGCCTTGGGGGTGAGAATGCGTTGGGGGTGAGAATGGGCTGTTGCAGCATACTGTTTCTGTGGTTTCAGAGATCAGCCGCAGTTTTTGTTTTCCTCTTTGCATTTATTAAAATAATTTTTATTCTTAAATTTGTTGGTCAATACTGACATTATCTTTCCAATCTTTGATTTATGTCAGATTTAAGTGCGTCTCAGCATTGCACTTGTAATGGATTTTTTCCCTGAACCTGACTACTCTACAATAATACTCACTCTAGTTTGCCAAGTCTTATACTTTTACCAGCGCATCTACACATCGACGTCCGCTGAGTCAATAAACCTACCCTATCCACAAGTTTCCGAGGGGCGCTCCTGTAAAAAATAAAGTGGGTGAAACTTCCGGTGAGGCGGCGGAAGTAGCATTCCAATGGTATTTTGTGTGTTAGTTAGCGAAGAGGCTAGCTGTTTTTCGGAGAATTATTTTACTATTTAAAGACGCAAATCTTTATGAGAGATGGTGTTACGGAGTTCATGGACAACATGTGCTGTTCGCGGTTGTATGTATAACCGGACTAAACTAGTTCAGTGGCTTAAACGTGATTGTTTTGAACATAAGCTGAAAACGAAATCAGAGTGTTCCTGCCAACGACTGTAGTTTCCTTCACCTCCCAAAAGACGACGAATCTTCCTGTGTACATTTGTTTAAATTCTTAATATTCTATACACTTTTATCAGCATGTGTTTGGCTGTTCTCTACTGATGTTGCACCTAAACTCAGGATCAAAGCCTGTGTTGACAGAATACCAAATGTGCCAGTTAATGTATTCAAGCAGCACATTCATTTATAATTTTGAATAAACTCCAAAGCACAATGACTAAGTGTGTATTTTTTATTTTAATTGTTTGTCAGCTCACACAACTGTCTTTCACCATGCCTTGATGAGTACTGATTATTAATAATGTTATTATAATACTCCCAATCAACTACTGCGGAGGTAAAGGTACTGTTATTTCACCTTTTTTAATTTCGTTGAGGTTGTGTTCCCACATCGTTAGCTAGTTTGGATCGCTATAACTTGAATGACTGCCAACTGTTGAATGAACGAGTGTCAAGCATGTCAAATCGTGCTTTGTTTACTTCCAACCGGAAGTCGCGCCCACTTTTGACGCAAGGCCTCATGGGGCGTAGGAAACTTGTGGATACCCTAGCGCATCTACAGTCTACGTCCGCCGGGTGCTAATAGTTCTAACTAACTTGTTCTTGCTGCGCAGCTTAAATAACAGACAGACTCGAGCAAATGTCTTTTCAATGCTTTTAATTACGGCCAGGAGAGTTCTCGAGCAATACTCAGAGAATCTCCCAAGTAAAAACAAGGCCAGTGGATCTCAGATAAATTCCATTGAGAATCCCCCCGAAAATACTGATACGACCGTTTTTATACAATAGGGTACTATGCCATAATGACATTAATTTCATTGGTTCTTCATAGGTAGACTGTTTTGTTACTGGGTATAGAGGAGACTTTGTTTTAATGTTTCTAACTTTAAAATTCTAACTAGTCATCTGTCTAGTTCCATTTCCCATATTTTTTACTTATACACACAGTCAGGTGTTTGACACACATACATTCATCTGAAGTACAGAATGTCTGTAAATGTTAAAACATGGTTGGCCACACTTTAGCACAATACTGGTACATCCAGCGACGGTCTCTGAAAAAAAAAAATAATCAGAAAATAATTCCTTTGAGTATTGCAATATGCAGTTTCACACATCATATTTTCATCACCCTTAACACCGTCTACTTAAAACCTTTATCAATATTCGAATGAACCGAATATTTAAGAGAGGAAAAAGAAGATTTTATTCTTCCTGAAGATATTATAAATCTGCTTCTTGAATTTTGAAACTAATCACCCTTATTGTGCAGCTGTCTAAACTGACTGGTCAATCATGGCATTCTGCACTATATAGCTAGCTGCCATTTACGTAAAATAAACTCTTTCAGGTACTTCTGGTTTATTTATTGATAATCACTATTGCCCCTTACTTAACATTAACACAGTGTTCATGTCGTATTATTTTGAGGAGCTGTACTTACTCTTTCATATTTGAATGGTAGCTTTCAGCACCCACCAGGTAGTTTAGGTTTGGCACAGTCCAGTGAAAGGCCTCATCAAAATAGTTCACATAAGTAGTCCACTTGCAGTGAGCAGTATACAGGCCTCTACTTCTACAGCAGTGAAACTGCCACCTGTGTGGAAAAATGGTAATGACATCAGCTCAGGAGAACTTGCGCAAAAAGTCAAACCCAGTCCAAAATCAGAGCTCACCGTCTGTCCTCATGGTAGTTGTTGTGGTAGCTGCTCATTCCTGTCATGATGTAGTTTGGTGGACACTCAAAGTGTAGCAGTTGGTCAAAATCATTGGCGTAAGGGGACGAGAAACAGTCTGTAGCAGAGTCGAAGGTGTCTTTGCAGCCAAACTCCCAAATCCTGTCCTCGTATATATTATGATGTTGGCTTCGATTTCATTATAGGGATGGAAACAGTGAGGGACACATTCATTATAACTATAATACTAAAAAGTATTACTAAATACTATAAATACTAAAATACTATAAATACTAAAGTATTGTCTTTCATTATAACAAAGTTTCTATTGAAATAAGATATTGAGCTCTATTTTAACGATCTGAAACACAAGTATCAAGCGCGAAGCGCAAGTAATTTTGTGGGCGGTTCTTGGGCGCTGTTGCTATTTTACCGGCGGGATAAGTGACTCGATCTTGTGCCGGGCGCAAGTTTAAAATTGGTTGTACTGAAATAGCTTCATTATTCATAGGTGTGGTTTGGGCGTAACGTGTAATAAACCAATCAGAGCGTCATCCAACATGTCCTTTAAGAGCAGATGTGCATGTTGCATGTCAGATTGTTATTATAATGGTGGGTTTACATGGCGCGCGCCAAGAGCGTTCACAGTCGATGAGACCGACATTCTTGTCTGGGCAGTGAAAGATAGAGAGGTGACGTTGTATGATTATGGGAGAAACCCATCCGTCAGTTTAACATATACATATGTTTCTTGCCACTATTGGGCAAACAGGTCTGATCCTTCAGTAGCCTACTACAATTAGTCTTAAAAAAAAATGGGTAATTGTTTTTTTTCATCTTCATGGAAACCACATGATTTCCCTCATGTGTTAATATTTTTCCTTGTTATAACGTATGATTTGGAAAAATAAAAACTACTGCATCTGTGTTGATGAGAAATTCAAAGTGTGCGTTGTGCACCCGCTACATTGCAACGCATTCTCACCCCAAGGCGTCACCTTTGACCATGCTTCAATATTTGACGTTTTAGGCGCCCTTTAGCGTCACTTACATGACGCGATCCTACGGCGTCATCTAACTGACGCTAAAGGAAAGCGTCAGTTATTGGACGCGGTTAGGTTTAGGTGTGGGGTAGGGGTAGGGTACACGCGATCCTAGGGCGTCATCTAACTGACGCTAAAGGGCGCCTAAAGCGTCAGATATTGAAGCATGTCCAAATGCTTCCCAAGGCGTCAGTTAATTGACGCCTTGGGGGTGAGAATGGGCTGTACATTATGGCCAAGAATGCGCGCTTAAAATAGCAGAACAATGCGCAACGCGCTACTGACTTTAGACCAGTTTTTTTTTTCTCGTTAGTGACGCAATTGTTTTCTGGAACTGCAAAATAGCACCAGGGAATGTTTGCGCCGGAACACCCCTCCTTTTTTGCGCAAATCCGCCCCGGGAGCGCAAATTCATTCCCTTGTTTACCAACGTGCGTCTTTGGAGGAAAAAAGCCCGCTTTGTGCGGGTGCAAAATAGGAATGAGACATGCGTCAGTTTTGCGCTGGGTGCAAGATAGGGCCCTCTGACTCTTATTCCTTTCCAAACCAAATATGATACTTTTAATCCTTACAGTTGTAATGTTTTCAGTTGTAATGTAATGCTGTTAATGTTTTCCCCACTTTTTTTGGGGTTACAAGTTAAATAAATTATACATAGATGATATTTTCTGGCCAATAACATCCATGTTTTTATTGTTAACTCTGTTTGGGTACAACTATATCCATTAATCTGTATTTTTACATAGGCCCATGATATTTTGACTTTTAATTTAATATTTTTACACAGATCTATACCTATTCTGAACTATCTGCTTTCTACTCACCTCTTTATGTGGGATATTGACTGTCCTGGAGGGCACTTAAAATCAAGAGGCTGATCATAGTAGTTTTGCCAGAGTAACTCTGTAGAGTTTGATTCAGAACAAACACTTAACAACAAGCTAATCTATTGATTTATAAAACAAATAGTCTTTCAAAGTTTCTCACCTCGTCCATTGGCCAAGAGACCCATCAGCAGTAGAAATAAAGCCGATCTCATGGTTATGGTGTTCATGTCAAAGTACAAGACAATTTAAGACAAACCAGCTTTTATACAGATCTCAGGACTTTGGTCACATAAGGTCTGTTTGCTTAACAAGTGGGATCCAGTCATGTTTGAACGGGTGGGACTAAAAGTATTGAACGGACCTGTTGTCCTTGAAAAATAACCTGTACTTTACTTTGCAGAAATTTGTAGTTGTTTTTAATTGCCAGCACAGCCAGTATAAAAGTTCAGAAAGTAAGTTTTTAAAAAAGGATCACCATTTAATTTTACATTTATAAAGCACAAACATCAAGTTCAAGTTTATTTCCGGAAGACATGGCCACTTGGCCCGTTGTTTCACAGAATCACAATAGCATGGCAGATGCTCTTTTCTTCATTCCAGTCTCCATGCATACTCCGAATCACAAACATGTAACACATCAATACAAACATTACTAACAAGTGCGAGGTCACCCAAATATATCTTACACAAGATGTATTCAAAATTAACTTCTAGTTAAAGTTAAGACTCTCTCTGCCTTTGGTGTATTACTCCATCTGCCTTTTTCTATATCTAAATGATGAGTATCTGAACAGGAACAGGGATCAGCTGTATGTTATGTGGTTGAACAAATACGAAGCTCGGTTACAGCTAAAGCACAAACCTCCCTGCCATTTCCGTTCCAAAGTATCTTGCAATTTATGCCAGGTCAAATAAAACTTGTTGAAACTATTGAAACTGCATGGAGCAACTTTTACATAGTTCAGCCAAAATGACTTCCATAACTGTGTTGGTTTGTTCAATTTGATCGGCCAGTATTAGGACATTTTATTGTCTGTGGATTAAAAAAATTACAATTATGCGCCTTTAACAGTAAACAAAGATAAGCAGAGCTCTTTTTATTTATTTATTTTTTTATTAACAACTATTTTAGATAAGCAGAAAAGCAAATATTACTATTTTAGTTTTGTGTTGGGTGCTTGATTTGAAAGGCTACTCTTATGTATGTTTCCTCAGGAAAGGCTTCCTAATATAACTATAAGAGAATATAACTATATTACCTCACATTATTCATTTAATAACAAATAATGACACATTCATTAATAAAAAAATAAGTGTGTTGTTAATTGTGCTAATCATGGCATATTCTGTGTGAACTATCGCATTAAGTTAAATAAGAGATCGGTACAGTAAATATATTGTCGACTGGCACACTAATCATTAAGACTAGCACTCAAATACAATGTTTTTGGGGTGCTTTTGGTTGTAGGTAAAATGGATTTTGCATATTCAAAGTGTTTAAGAAAGATAATTCACACAACCTTATGACATTGTGACAAACACACTAACATTGATTTACTTACAAAGTCATACAGTTTACATTCATTCCATTTTCTGCTCTCTCTCTCTCTCTGTCACACATTTATGGGTATCAATGACATGAGATGTGTAGTTTGTGTATCTGCGACAACTCTCAGAGGGATGTTTCTTTAGGGTCTCTGATCTCTGTGACGGGTGGCTGAAATGATAGGATCTCTGTAAAAGTGTGACCTGCAAAGTGAGAGACAGAAACGACAATGAATTAGAAGAATCAAGTTCTGGTTCTGCTTCCTCCGGCATTATTGCTCTTTATAAGCTTATTATCTCTCTTCATATTTTTTCATGTTTTTTCCTCTCCCAGCTAACAAACATATGTTCTAAATATGTTTTGCTAATGTTCCAGTTCAAGTGTTTATTTCTGAATGTTTTCTAAATGTTCAAAACACTGCAATAAAAAAAATAAAGAAATGTATTGATTATGCGATTGCGAACATTAAGGGAACATTCCAATTTATCATTTTGCAAACATGTTACTTTTGAATCTTCTCTAAACATTCTGAAACAAGTATTTACAATTAAAAAGTATAAGACAATTATCCAACTAAAATGCTTCAGAAAAAAACAAAAAAAACATTCCATGAACAATATATAAATGACATTTTTGTGCTAACATTTTGAGAACATTATTAATGATCAGGTAACGTAGAAAAAACATTCTATTAACGTTTCTGGAAGAACATTTGTTCATAACTTTTAGAGAAGCATGCCAGAACATTAGCCAAAGTTCTAAGAACGTTCCATGTTAGCTGGGATTTATTCTTCCTTAACCTCAATGCAAAGATATGAAACCTAGCAATTCTCTTATTTTAGTTATTAACTGTCAAGACTTTATCTCATACGTTTCCATTGCTCCAGTGGCAGTTCTGTGTTGTCCATGGAGTGGTCATACGGCAGGGCCTCCGTCTCTTCCTCAGGTTCTCTGAACTCAGTAAACAGCGGGAGCTCAAGCGCCTCTGCAGCGCTCACACGCTTCTCTGGATCCAGAACAAGCATCTGCTCCAGAGCACTCACCGCTAAAAAAAACACACACACTTTACACAAAAAACTCTCAGATAAACCTTACAATTCACCCATAAGACTAGCTATGTTTCCATCCAAAGTTGCAAATTAAATTTAAAATATATGCAAATTCTGAATTTCGCACCGTTTCCATCGCCTATGTTAAGGAGAACAAAATCGTCCTCTGGGAAATTGGAGTAATATATAAATTGCTGCAATCGGGAAAGCCACTGTGGCTCTTTTTCCTACAACATAAATGACTTCATAGAGTGCACAGACAAATGTTATCTTGCATTCAAAGGCGGATATCTGGTGTTTGGGAACGCAGTCACAGTTCTGGGACGTCATTATACCCAAACATTTCAGAATGGTCAAACCAACATTTGAGATGCTGTGCCATGAAATTGCCACTGATTAGTCACAACCTTAGTTGAGGCAAAGCCAAGTACTTTGTGTGTGTGTTTTGAGGGATTTATTCTGTAAATGTATTTCCATTGTAGTTAATGCATGTTTTTTTATCAGCTACAATTGTCTGCTTTAAAGGTGCAATGTGTAACAAAGTTGAGTATCTATTAACAGAAATGCAATATGACATCCGTAACTATGTTTTCAGTGGTGTATAAAGAACTTACTTAATTAGCCGTAATGTTTTTATTACCTTAGAATGAGACATTAATAGCTCCATAACCGCGGGAATCCCCTTCCATGAAGGTCGCCATGTTGTGACGTCATATTCCTACCGTAGCCGAACGCGAACAAACAGCGCTACAGAACGCGTTTCATCACTACCTTGAAAGAGAAGTAGCGGAAAGCTGGAAGCTAGCCTTACACTCCGTGAGTAGTGACTTTTCCCTTGTGAGTGGTGTAAAATATGTAGTTGGGATTGTTTCATGTAACTTAGTTCTCCCTCGCTGTGTTATGGGTTTGTTATGTTGGGGATAGATGTGCTGTTACGTTCGTGAGACAGCTGATGATTAGTATTCATGTCATTGACCGTAAAACAGTACGTTACAGGAATCACTAACCCGTCGATAGAGACTTTTACTAAAGTCTTTTATCACTAAAGTCGATCGCGAAGAATTTTCAAAATCAGAGAAAAAAGCCTATTGTGTGTAGTAAATAGTATCTATGGGATGCGGACTCGGAGATGACATGATTGTAACAGCGCGCGCAGTTCCGACCTTTGGACTCATGCGGACGAGTCCCAGCTCAGCCACAGTAACAGCTCATATTAGCCAGCTAAACTATTACTACCCTGTTAGAAAAAATATATAGCTGCTCCCTCGCTGTATTATGGGTTTGCTACAGTATGTGGGGAGAAATGTGCTGCTGGTTACGTTTGTGAGACAATCAGCTGATTATTATTTTATTAAATTATATATTAAAACCCTTGATCCTCACCTGACTATGGCTTTGTAAACAGACAGTATTCATGATGTGGTTTATAATGGACTGTGGTACAGAAACAGTGACAATGTTACACACTCTTGGCTTACTCTGGCTATTCTCTGCTGTCTCAGCCGACAAGATGTTTGTCCCGTTTTAGCAACCCTAGCTTCTTCGAAAGGGAGGGGTGAGCAGTGGGCTGAGCCCTTAGTGCAAACCTGGTGCAAACTCGCAACCGAACCACTAGATGTCGCTAAAAGTCACACATTGCTCCTTTAACTGAGTGCATTTTCTTAAAAATGTGCAAAAAAAAAAAAAAAAACCCAACTATGTAGTGTTTATTTAAATGGAATTAAAATAGCTTACCCTTTGTGCTGGCTTTGAAGAAAAAGGTGTTTAAGTCTTTCTTTGGTACTTTAGGTAGACCTCTGATGTAGTTTTTGGCCTTTATGGATGGATTAAAAAAAAAACAAGCATTGATTGTCCATTTCAATGTCTAAATGTATGTAAAGTAGTGTTTCTTTTGATCTGTTATACACTCACATCTTGGCTTTGTAGCTTCATAATGAAATCCGGTGCTGGCGTTCCTGTGATTTTCATGATCTCTCTTAGCTGGTCCAAGTCTACAAGTCTATGTCAAGGATTCAGTGAACGAATAGAGACAGTACAAGCCCTTTCTACTTTAAAACCTGTGTAATCTCTATTGTGGATAGTAGTAAAGCATTTTGGGAGAAAGCTATGTCAATTCAGTTGTTTGAAAATGGAAAAATGTGCCGTGAAAAAACAACATACTTTTTCCATTAAGTCATCAAATCATCCAAACACTTGCACGTGTGAAAGTAGAAATTGTTTCAGTTACATAATGAGGAAAAAGATACGGTCATTTCCTTTAAAAAGTGGCCTTCCAAGTAACATCTCCGCCATGATGCAGCCCACAGACCAGATATCAACTAAAACAGAAAAAGAATGTTTGAATCACATCAGTCAATAAAAGTATTTACATCAAAAGTGAATGGGTGTTGCGTCCGAAATCTGGCATTTATAATGTCACACCCTGTTTTCCGCCTACTAGTAGGGAAGAATGCGATTTCGAGTGCAGCCCAGGACTCTAGTGTGCCATTGTGATGACCTACAGTGCCATCTAGTGGTTAGGGATGTAATAACTACACCTGTTTGTGAGTAGTGCATCCAGTTGAGGATAACCTCAGGTGCTCTGTACCAACGAGTCACCACATAACCCGTCATTTCTGAATCTGCCTGACGTGCGAGTCCAAAGTCCAGGATCTG